TGGCCCTCTGCCTGTCCGGCGGGGGCCGTGCCTGCTCGCCTCTCTGTCCTCGCGTTGGCGGTCGCAGTGAACGATAAGGGGGTGTTTGCGGAGTGGCGGTCAGGGGTTAGGGCAGTGGTTTAACTTACTGGCCGGCGCCTCCGGGGCGGCACTGTTGTCATCTGCAGCGCAGCTTCCATCCAGACCGAGGCCTGCGTGTGATCCTGTAATGGTGCCAACGGCCTCTTCAGTGGGGCCAAGCTTGAAGGTGGAGATACCTAAGAAATGAGGGTGTTCTGAAATGGCAGGGGTCTCTGTCAAAAACGGCTCAGGCGTGCGGAAGCCAGGGAGGGATGTAGGCTTCCGGGTTCCTGGAAGCACTTTGGTTAGAAAAGATCTATTCGGGGCTCCATGGGGAGTTCCTGTTCCTGGTAGGAACTGCAGATAGAGGTAAGGGAAGTGCTTGAAAGCTACACTGAAAAAACAGCTTTGCAGTTAAAACTGTGATGGGGGGGGGGGAATGGCATTAAAAAGTAGAGTAGTTAAGTGTAAGCACGTATGACTGTTTTGACTAGGACACTAAAGCAGAAAGAGCCCTGGTTATATGGAAGTTTCATCCTCTTTGCTGAAATACTTTACTTGGCTGTAAAGCAGTATATTCTTCCCCAGCTTCAAAGGTGTTAAGAATTGGTTACTGATGGTAAAAGTCTTTGATTTTTGCAGACTACCAGATACTTTATGAGTATTGATAGAGACAGCATATGAATTATCTGAAGCAATATGGTTTATTCTAAATAACAAAACCAGAAGATTGTATAACTTGTTATTTTCATTTTTTTGTTTTTTAAGAATAGGCTAAACAAAGTAATTTAGGTATTGGTGGAAAAAAACTAATAGGGACATAGGAAACTAAATATCCAGGAAGGAAGCTCATTTAATGTTGTCCTTTTAGGCAGCAATCCAGCAGACTGTTGAAGCACTTAAGTTTGCTGGATCAGGATTCTACTAAATACATTGTGTGTATGGATACTACATAATGCATTCTTTCTTCATTGGCTTATGTACATTCTTCCAAACTTTTATAGTAGAAACTGCCATTGCAGGAATGAGGCTAGAGTTTCTGTTTAGCTGAAGTATAAGCTGTGGTCCTGCTCAGGTGTATCTCATTGCTGTGCAACTTCATTTTGTTAGAACCAATAACCGTGTACGACATGGAGAATATTCACTGTTTCAGGCAAGAGTTTCACGAGCAAAAGATACTGGAAGAATAAAGATTGTTCTGGAACATCTTTTCTTGCCATGTGTGAAAGTCTGTCACGCCAAAATGGTCCATCATCCCAGTGGTTAAGTGATAAATCGTACCTGGCTAGTTTTGACTTCCAGCCATGCTTGGGTAACTGTGGGACTGGCCTTCAGGAGACCCTTGAATGAATGCCTCTGGCAGATAGGGTATTTTAATTACTCTTCACCAGTACTCTTTTACTGTCAGAAATGCTAGTTAATCAACTTCTTTAAAACAACAGAAACATGACTTTTATCATGGTAGCCTCACCTTCCTTTCTGCGGTTGGTTACCCAGTTTACCAACTCAGTGGGTTGTTTTGGCTTGTGCTCTTAGATGTACATTTAAAAGAAACTGCTGTGCCAGCCAAGATCACTAGAAACAGTACTCTGTTCTGGCTCCACTCCTTCCCTGTTCTGAAACACCCTCTTTCCTCGTGGACAGGATTGTAGTGGTGAAACATTTATGTGTACTAGTTCTCTCAGGTATGAGAATTTTACTTTAAAATACTAATGTTGTATGACAAGATACTTGGCTGTTTTTGAAAGCCAGGTCTATGTTGTGCAAAATGAAGTATTCAGTGGGGCAAAGGTCTTGTCACTGTTTGAATGTGAAGTTCCTGGAACACAGCAATGTTTAGCCCAGCTGTATATGGAGAATATGATATTCTGTAAATAACATATTTTATTTTCTGGGAGAAATGGAGTAAATAAAAGCAGGCATAATCACTCTTTAGAGCTCTCTACCTCCTTCCCACCCCCAGTATAGTAAAGGTGGGTGAGAATCTATAAACTGAAAAATAAATATCCTGACTTACACACTTGGCTTTCAAATAGCATCAACGTGTAATGAGATAACATGGATTCCAGAGTGACTGGATACTGTCACTTCCCCATAATTATCTGCCACTTAGCAGATATGGCAGACAAACTGATTACTCTTTTTAGCAGGCTATGTGTTGCCACATTGTCTAGTCTTGGGACACTGACAGGATAAGGAAGAAATTTGCTTAATGCTGTGGATAACAAGCATTCATTAAGAAATGATGACATGGCAGATCCCAAGCCAGATCCTGCTCTTGTAGACATCAATTAGAGCAGTGTCAAACTGCTGTTCCATCTACGTCTTCATGGTTGCTGGAGCAGATTTGGAAAAAAAATCACTGAAATCACATAGAGTCTGCATGAATATTTCTGCTGTGAATATTTCTGCTTGTCATTAATTGGTAATTACTTTGATGCTGTTCTTGCTAGACCCAATCTTTTCCTGTACCAATGATGCATTTTACTAATGACATTTTAGTTTATTAATGTGATCAGGGAAGTCAGCCTGTGTCAGGGAATGAATTGTTGCCTTACATGCGGAGTCTGGTTTGGGACTTCAGAATCTGTCAGATGAATTAATGAACAAAATAAATTTCTGTCAGTTTTTTTCCTATTTGTCTGTGTTTTTTTCCAACTAGGTAGCTCTTTGGACACATCTAATCTCCAGCACACCTGCGTTCGAGGGCTATCCAAATGTTTAAGAATGAGAAGAGCGATCTCTCTCTGGTCTCATTCACATGTTACACCCCACACGCCCCCTCCCCCCCGTTCCAATGAATATAGTGGAAGTCCTCATTGTTTATAAGTTTTAAGGTTGACAAAAACAACTTTGCATAGAACAAAAGTAGCGTGTCAAGTAGTGTTCCTTATTGCTTAAGTTGATAGTATGGGGATATGGAAAGCAGTGCAGTGGATGGTGTGACATCCTCTCAAATGCTACATTATCAGGATACCTCTGAACTACAAAGAAAACAGTTAGAAACTGAAGATGCGCTCCTCTGACAGTTGCTCCATCTAACAAATACTGTGCATTTTGTTCAGGTTAGCAATGGTCCGTAGTGGAAAAAATGGTGGGCTCCACCTGAAGCAGATAGCATACTACAAGCGAACAGGAGAGTATCATCCCACAACATTATCAAGTGAAAGAAGTGGAATCAGGAGAGCAGCCAAAAAATTTGTTTTCAAAGGTAAAAATATTCTCTCAAATGACTCTGAAAATAGATTTTTAGGTGAAGATTTGCTGACGCAAAAAAAAAATGAAAGCGGGATCTTGCTCTGCAGCATACTCTGATTTTGATATACATTCTCTATGAAACAAACACTCTGCTTAACCCTTGTTAATGCATAACAGGATGTTTACGGAAACAGAAATTCAATATGCTTTAGTCCTTTCCAGGAGGGGTTTATATATCTATCTAAAAGCCAAACCATGTTCTAGATACTGGGGAAGTATGTAGCCATTGCAATCCATAATTCAAAGGACTATGGAAAGGGAAACCCAGATCTGCAGCTGTAGACCAGGAATGCTCGGTCTGGTCTGGAGGATGCTGTGTGTGGCGGGGCAGAAGTGCAGGGATGGCTTTGCCATCTGTCACCTTAGAGCCTCCCCGCCCTTCCCAGCTTTACTGCATCCCTGTGAGGAGGTATATGAGCCTTTGTAGTCTGCTGTGCTCTCTCAATCCCATCAAACCTGCCAAGTCTATATAGAGAGAAGGCAGGAAGGAGTTAAAGCTGCGAATTGCAAAGTCAGGTTGCTGGCAGGCAGACAATAGGTCTCCTAACGTGTCCTACCTCCCCTTCCCACCCTGTCATTAGCTTGTGTTTCAGTCAGACTTCCTGTGGGAACTTGTTTGCATTCTGACTTGCCCTTGTAATGCCTCATGTCCAGATTAATAAACATAGGTGAACAATTGGCTCTTTGGAGGAAATAATTGTAGCTTTTTGTTTACAAATACTTTATTTACACAGAAGTGAATTGAAGTTGATTTAATAAATTCTGTACTGAATCACGCACAGTAGTTTAGTAAACTAAACAAAAGACAAAGCACTTGCATATAATTCGCTGGTACTTTTCTTCTTTCAGAAAATAAATTGTTCTATGTTGGAAAAGACAGAAAACAAATGCGCCTGGTAATTGTTTCAGATGAAGAGAAGAAAAAAGTGCTTGAGAAATGCCACGAAAATGCTGCTGGCACGCATCATGGCATATCAAGGACGCTGACTTTAGTGGAATCTAATTACTACTGGACCTCTGTAACAAATGACGTCAAGCAGTGGGTATGGTCTCATAGCTACAGGATTTTTTTAATGTAGTCTTTGTTACAAACGTCTTGTAATCATATGACTTTGATACAGCAAGCACCCATACTGCTTCATGATGAGGAAACGTAAGCTTACAATCAAATTTAAATGGCCTTGCCAAAGCATAGTGTTTCCTTTTTCTCTTACTACTGACCACGTGGCTTGCATATTGCTGTATGTTATGCAGTGGTGGGGAGCCGTACTGCCTTTAAGTATGCAGGGCACATCTGGTCTTTGAGAGGGATTTCTCTTGCAAGGACTCTTGTATATCTTTGTTAGGATGCAGTGTACCATCCCAAGGATATGTGGCCAGAGTGGCTGCTGGCAGTTAAGAATATGGAAATGGTGCCTCTGCCTTACAATTAGGCCTGTTCAGGAAATAGTTAAACAAATCAACTGCTTGGAAAAGTTCCTTCTCCTCCTTCACCCAAAGATACATGGACATGAACCCCAGGCAGAATGTGATTCTTGAGGAAACTGCATGTAAATGTCTTTTACGGCCAAATTGCTGTTGCTATCAGCTTGCTGCATCACCTGAATGCTTTGAGTTCATTTGCAACTGTAACATGAACTGAATATGAATCTTTGCTTTCAATTCAGACTTGGACAAAGGGGCTCTGTCCTGTAGATGAAGCTGATCCATGTTATGCACAAAACATTATGTATACTGCCAGTGTTTTTCAGCCACAGCATACACAATAGAACCAAAAGGGGAATGATTAGGACTTTCTTTCAATTGCAGCTGCTTCATACTTCCTTTAGTATTTACAGATGGTAATGGATATTAAAATTTGTACTGTGGACTTGAAAGAGCACAGTGCTTTCAGGATGAGGAGATTCAGCTATGAATTCCTGCACATGTCCTTCTCCCAGCCTTCACTGTTGTTTGGTTTTGTTTTATTTTTATGCTGGGGCTGAAAAATCTAAGGGTAAAAAATGATGAGAAAGATGATAAAATGAATTTGTTTTGTACTTCCTGGTCTGACCTATCTTACAGGGGAATTGTGGAGATTTATGATCCTGCTGATTTGTCTTAAACCGTTACCATCGCTTTTTATTGATAGCGTCTTCCCTGATTTTTGCACTAGGTGTATGCTTGCCGGCACTGCCAAGTGGCAAAGAATACAACCACCACGGCACCCAAAACACACCCTATCAAAGCAGAGGACCCATGGACAGCAGTCACTATAGACCTAATGGGGCCTTTTAATGTTACCAACAGAAGCCACAAGTACATCATAATTATGACAGATTTGTTTACAAGATGGGCTGTTATCTTGCCACTGCATGAGACTTCAGCAGCTGAAATTGCTAAGGCAATCACAAATGTGTTTTTCTTATATGGGCCACCTCAAAAAATGCCTATTGATCAAGGAAAGGAGCTTGTTTATCAGGTAAGTCTTTATGTGGCTGGTTTCTTTTTTTTTCCCCAAGAAAAAAATACATTTTCCCCTGTATTAAATTTGAATTTTAGACCGTTCTTGAAAAAGACTGTAAGTCTTTAATTTAAAAAAAGAAAAAAAAAAAGTTAGCACATACAGAAAATGACAAACCAATTATTTGCAATTGTAACATTACACAGTGTTTCCCAGGGTTTTATTCTTTGGAAAAAGAACAAAGCAAAATGATTTCCTGGTGGTCATAGTGCAGGTTTTGTCACTCAGTTGAACTGGCACAAGCTTTCACACTCCAATATGCTGTATTTCATTCATCCATATTGTCCAGTGTAGCAGATAGCTAAGGGTATTTTTGACGTTGGCCTATAGTAATTATGAAGAACTTCTCACACTTTGATCCTCTCAGATGATGAAATCATGAGAATGATACGGATGAAATGACAAATTGAGTTAGTCGTAGAAATGTGTTTAGAAACCATCAATTACTGGCTCCTAAGCCATACTGATTCCTTTTAGCTCTCACTTTCAACCCTGGAATATTTGGTGGGAATATGTTTGTAAGACTTTTGCTCAGTCACCATTGTATCAAAAGGGTTGGAAAACTACTGAATTAGTTTACTTGAACAGAAGAGGGAAACCTTCAGTAATTGTGTTCTTTTTCTTTTGAAGATAAATGAAGAACTGTTTGCACTGTTTGGCATGAAACAAATTGTATTGTCTTATCCTCAAACAGATGATGTAAATGAAAGAACATGCAAGACAATCAAAGCTTTCCTTAACAAATACTGCACTGACCATCCAAATGATTGGGATGAACATTTGTCTGCTATTGCCTATGCTTTCAATTTGACAAATTTGGTATGTGAAGGTTCTTCCTCTTTTGACTGAAGTTCCCCAAAATATCTGCAAAGCTGTAGGCTAAATTTGCTTGCTTTTTGCTCCCCATTTAAATAGGAGCCAGATCAAAACACCCCATATTTCCAAATGTTTAATCGTAACCCACATGTTGTTGAGCCAATGGACATATGTGTGGAAGGAGAATACAGTATGTTTGCCAAAATATTTGAAGCAACTAAAAAAGCCAGTCAAGCACTGGAAGAAGAGAAAACCTCAGATTGCCAGGTAAATGTTATATATTCAAATTGTACTAGTAAAAAGACCAAAGAGAAAAAAGATGGGAAGGCTTGAAGTGTGAAGTATAACTCCACATTTTAAAGCAATGTGGAGTTTTATGTGTTTTTTTAATTTTGGGGTTTTTTTTCCTTTGCCTGTTATCCCTAGATTCCAGTGTACCTATTCTCATATATATTTGGAGGGAATAACCTTAGAAGAGACCTATTGCCAAGAGATTAATATCTAACTTAGAGGGCTGCATATCTATGGAAGCTGAAAAACACTGCCTATGGACTATTGATCTATGAAGATAAAATCAATTTCTTCAGAACTTTCCAGCCCTACATATTATGAATTACACACATCCAAAACCACTTAATGTTATGCTTCTGCATTATTAACCAATGTTATGAAAATACACGATTATTTTTTGAAAAACAAAATCTAATTCATATGTACCTTTCTGCAGGTGGAGAAAAACACTTCAGATGAACAAAAAATCAGGAACAAAATCACTGTCAAAAGAAAGCCAAAGCAATTAAATAACCTTCGACTTAAAGTTGGTCATGAAGTCCTCAGGCAAAGAAAAAACTGGTGGAAGGATGGTCGTTTCCAGTCGGAATGGGTTGGTCCTTGTATTATAGATTATATTACAGATAATGGCTGTGCCATATTAAGAGATGCCACAGGATCCAGGTTGAAAAGACCCATCAAGATGTCTCACCTCAAGCCATACATAAGAGGGTCCGGTGAAAAAGGTATATATATGTGTGTGTGTATTTTTTTAATATATATAACTTTTTTAATTTTTCTGTCATGTTACTCTGATACCAGAGTGAACAGGTATCATTCACTCAGCAGTGTGAATTAAACTAACACTGGGTAATAATGTAATAATTGCAGTTTTCAGTAAGGACGACAGTGAGCGTGGGTGGCTTCAAACCTATGCGGAGCATGGAACAGAGCTAATGAATCACATTCAAAGTATGTTTAAAAATAGCTTCCATTAAAGTTGCTTGTAATCTGTGGTTTGGCCCTGTTCATGCTGGCTGGTGAAAACATGCTGGAAGTATAATTAGGCTGAGCTGTATTCAAAGAGCATTTTCTGACTGTGTTTCTGTTTTGATGTAGGCAGGATTCACATTTATTTTGCTTGTGCAATGGAAACCTAATTTTTTTTTTTTGCTTAGTCTGACTAGTGCAGATGGTACACGTTTAGACTTTTTTTTAACAACAAAAGCCTCTAAAGCCTTAAAATAGAAAGACTACATCAGAGAACTGATTTTTAGAGAGTTTATTTTAAATTGGGCTACTGAGGAAGTAAATGTGTTTCTCTTAACAGAGCAAATAAAATTGTCATGCTCTGCAGTAGACTGCTAGAAATTCCCAAGGCCTTGGGTAATCAACCGCCACTCTTGCTCTTATGTATTCAGTGTGTCCTTTGCAATGCTGCTGTGTTAATCAAACAGTGGCAGCTCTTTCTTTTCTGTTGATACTGTCTTTGAATCACTGCAGGCATTTTGAGGAAAATGAATACTCAGTGTTTAGAAGACTTCTGTCACAGAACAAGCTGCTTTTTCGTTAAAGGTTCTTGAAAAGTAGACCAGTTCCCACCCTATTGGCATGTGTGGTTAAGCTCTGGTTCTTCAAAATGCATAAACTGCATTGAGACAGTAATTTCTTCCACCACCTCTTAAAACTGAAGGGATTTGCAAAGCTGAAACTAATTATGGAATTTCATGTGAGAAGCTGATATTTTTGCCAGTTGTCAGTTACAGATTTCATAACCAAGGTACTGATTTCATGTCACGTCTCCAGGACACTACTTTTACTGTTGGATGGTCACTCTGTGCCTTCCAGTTCTTCATTAAATTGCTGATCCATAAGGAGGAAGTCACATGCATGTCAAGTATGCAGATAATCTCCAGCTATTACAATGACTTGGTAAATTGTGTCACAGTATAAAAAGTTAAGTGTAGTTGTCTCTGTAGGATCAGAGCCTAATTACGTTTACCACTAAATATTGCAGAAGCAGTAGGTAAACATAGAGTTTCTTCCCTTTCCCAGGAAGTGACTAAAGATTAGTTGTCTGACACAGGCAAAAAATTCAAGGGATTATGAATACTTACAAATCTTAAAATTATAGCCCAATATTCATACATATTTACATTGTGTAGAGAGGTAAACCAGGTTTTGCCAAGGTAATTGCCAGCCTTTATCAAACAGCCTAACAGTGATCAAGAAAGAGTATTATTTCAGTTGGATAAGAGCAGTGAAACTGGGCAGTGAGTGACATAGTGAATGACATCTTTTTCATCTGTAAAGAAATGCATGTATCTTTGTTAACAAAGGACTTCTCTATTAGCAGGGGTGAACTTTTTTTATCTGCAACTTATTTATTATTCCTACTGCTGTGGTGTAAGTCTGGTGGCTGTCCCTTTGCATAACCTTGGATGGGAACAAAGCATTTGCAGTGTTCTCTGTGAAATAAATGCGGAAAAAGTGCATCTTAGGTGAGGATATTTGTGGCCTTGCCTACCAACTTTGTAAGTGTTACTACGTCTTTTGCTTACCCTGCTCCAAAAATCTGAAGTCTATCTTGTGTGTATCACACCTCAGATGTGTGAGTTTGGGAGTTTTAAAGACGAAAGGCAAAGCCTGAAAATGAAGTGCTCATTTTTTATGTGAGGAAAAACTCTTTCGCAGGTAAGAATGGGCAATCAGAAGCAAGGTATTTTTTCATAACTTTTGTAACACTCTTGGTCTAAAGATATATCCTGAGTCCAGTGCATTGACAGAGCCCTTGGTACAGGCATCACAGATTCGCAGCCTGGGTGTACCTGGGTTGCTTGCTACCTGGTAGTCTTTACAGCCAGGCAGAGGTTCTAGGACACCTTATGCACACATACATTTATGTGTCTGAAGCAACATTTTGTTTTTCTTGTTTGAGTGTAGTTTGGCTTAAATATTAAACTCAGGAGAATGTCATAGAATCATAGAATCATTAAGGTTGGAAGAGACCTCCAAGATCATCGAGTCCAACCGTCAACCCAACAACACCATGCCCACTAAACCATGTCCCTAAGCGCCTCATCTACACGTCTTTTAAATACTTCCAGGGAGGGTGACTCAACCACTTCCCTGGGCAGCCTGGTCCAATGTTTAACTACTCTTTCAGTAAAGAAATTTTTCCTTACATCCAATCTAAACCTCCCCTGGCGCAACTTGAGGCCATTTCCTCTCGTCCT